AGACGTGTGCTCTTCCGATCTTGCGCGCGTTAGACAAGCGTACGTATCACTTTCCGTAGCTTATTAATTAAGTTATTTCTGAGATCATACACGCACGAAAGAAAATAAAATAATACTATACGAGATATTATTGTGTTGATCTCAGTTATACCGATGATCGTAGTACAATCATGAAAACGGAAAACGAGAATATCATGTGCTGTTATGTAAAATTAATTGATATTTAATAAAACTTAATGATTATAAGATGTGCGTAAGCGTATACACACAATATTTAAACACAAAATCGTAGTTAATTCTTTTCACATTTCTTTTAAACATTGTTACAACATTATTAAAATAATGTTGCAAATCTATATTTTAACAATGTTTCTGAAGCATTGCATTGCAATATGCAATGTTGCAACTTTGCTGCAATATTGCTGCAAACTTCTGTGCTGTATGGGAATATGAACAGTACTTTTTAATATAATTTTAATTATGTAAACGGTTTTTATTAATAATTCACTTTATAAATTGGCAAGATTTGTTCTTAAAATACTTAATTTTTATTGAAATTATTTTTATAAAGATTTGTTAGAAAGATTCAAATTACTATTAAATGATCAGAAAATATGCCAACTTCTGGCTATATGGAAAAATATTTTATTTTCTATTTCTGCAACAATAATTTTTTTATTAAAGTATATTGTTTTAACTAAAGAATCACGCAAGTTTTACTTCATTTCATGAAATAAAAAAAAATGGCAGTTTTTCTTCGAAAAAGTGACGTTTTTCAAAACGGTAATTCATTTATCATTAATTTTCAATTGCTAAATAGTTTTCCATTAAATTGAGTAATACCACTGGATTTGTGAGAAAATTTTATAAAAAAGTAGGGTTTTCAAAACATTTTTGTTTTTATCCTCAGGAAAGATGTACAGTTTAAGATATCAAATCCAAATTCGCTCATTGTTCCATAGTGGGTCGAAAGAAGTGCACCATTTGAAGGTTAATTAATATCAACTATACATTTAGTAGAATTATAATAAATATAATGATTATTATTAATATATAATAAGCATAAGGGCTAACGAACCTGACTAGGTGTCCTTGTCAATGTTACAATTAAAATAAACTTTAATATTTTCAATACTACAAGAGGACCACATTAAAGGTCGAAACGTCTGGTTATTACTTATTATTATGCATTATTGAAGACCTATTAAAATTTATTTTAATTGCAACATTTTGACAAGGACACCTATAATCAGGCTTGTTAGCCTTTATAAATACTTATTATATATGATTTTAAATCGTTAGAGCCGGTTAAGTTTTTTTTTTAAATTATTATTAACATTATATCAATAATAACTAAAAATAGAGCTCCGTAATTATTTTACCATGTAATTATAGTGACATATTATATGTGTAAATACTAAACACTTTTCTCATCAATGTCTGAAGAAGCTTGCACTCACCATGCACTCGCCGCCTATGCACACGTCCGTGCTCTCCGCGTAACATCTCGTGCCGTCCTCCACCTTATCCGCCAGTTGCACCACTATCGTCTCGTCGCTGTCGAATTGCAGGCTGTCCGTGGAATCGCGCGGCGCCGTCTTCCCGCCCGTCGACGGCACTTCCTGCCGCGACCGTCTAACGCCGTTTTCGAGAGTCTGCTCGCCGCGACAGATCAAAGCGCACGGCCTAGCCGGGTCGTAATGGGGATACCATTTCAGCAGTTGTCCGCTGTATGGCACATTGTTGAAGACGGCGCATTGTGCCGCGCGAGAATCGCCCGATTTCTCGCAGGACTGAAATCACAGAAAGGAGAATCCGTTGTTACAGACGGGCTCATTAAACGGGCTTCTATGACGTCGTTACGCCCCGCGCGGCTATACGAGTGTCGTCGAGAAACCCGTTGCCATCGGTTCGCGGCAACGAGCGATCTAAATTTTTAACATCAGTACTCGATTGTTTCATGAAGATCTTATTCTCGTTTCACAGATAATTTTGTACCTCGGTATGGCAAGTGATTTCTTCTCACAATCAGCAAAAATTCAATCACAAGCCATTATCGTGTCAATTTTTAATTTCCTTCTTTTTTTTTCATGAAATATAATTTGGCGATATCTCTCTGAAATAATTCCTATGAGATCTTGATTACGATAAATTCGTTTTTCCCCTTCCTCGCCCCTCGCCGAAGTTTGCTTTAAATTACAAAAAGAGTGTTTTCTTACCGCAGCGATAATTCAATGTAATATACAGCAAAAGTATTTTGTTATATATGGGTTCACGTCGAAGTCACCGCATGGAGGGAACAAAGTTTCCCAATTCCAGGGATAGCTAATTAGAGCAAAATCATATTCCATTTATACTTCTCGAACTCGCGCTTGAGATAGCGAATCCGAAGTGAAGGATCGACGCCTGTGAGAGCCTGGGAGAGTTACCATCGCAAAAGTGCCCGCTAATTATCGTTATAATTAACCATTCTATAGTTGAACCGCGATATCTCCGGGGTATTTCTATCGACATTTTCGCCTCCGCGGAGTTTACCTCACTTCTCGCGAAAGTTAACGAGCAATGTAAGTTTTCGCCATGGAGAAACGTTTCATTATCTTCCAACCCTCCCCCTCCTCGTCCCCTTCTGCTTTCTTACCTCTATCTCGTTCACATCGTGTTTTTCGTTTCCCGTTGACCGCCGACAAGAGGGCACGATTTCCGAAATTCGGATTCGACGATATTTGAACGTAAATAACGCGAGATATCCCTTACCCCACAATAATTATTTTATTATTCTACACGAAACTATCATGTTAACATAACTGTAACGATATTCATTATCATTATTATACATATGATATGCCGTAACATAATATAATATCTATTATTATAAAGCCGAAAATTACATTACATAATGTTAACAAAATGCAATGTAAAGAATTTTTGGCCTATATTAAGGTATATCACGCAGTTTATAAGTGTGACCAGTGATGGATTATCCATTAGGTTAATCACGCACCACACAGCAGAAAAGTTATTGATATCTATAATAATTGATCTTTATAAAGATTAAATTCTTATCTAAGATTCTGTAAAGATTTTTTAATAATATCATTTTTAACTTCGCGCAATACTATCGTACATAAAAGTTTTACGTGCAATAGAAAAGAGTAAAATATACATATAATTGTATGCTACATTGTTATGAGGAAACATTGGACTTACACCGTTGTTTAAAATTGAATTTGATGCTTACTTTCTTTTTCCTTTTACAATATAAATAATTAAGTTATTTACGTTTATATCTACATTACAAATATTTTGTCAATAAAAGTGTGAAATGTATAGAGATAAAAATGACCGAAAAAAACTTTGAGTAAAAGACCTAGTAAAATCAATTTTTTAACTCTGAGCCCTGAAAGCTTTTTGGATATATTTTGAATATAATATTTTCTTTAGACATTTGACAACATGTTATTAGAACTTAGAATTCAGTTTTTCATCTAAACAATTTCTGTGTAAAGGTAACTGTAAACAATCAAAATGTAGTAGATACAATGACAAAGTAAACGGTGACCGTGGATACACTTATTGTTTATAGATAGGAAACAAAATTTAGTAAATCTTGTATGAAATTAATTGTTTTTGTATTTCCGCCTCGATCTTAAAAGCTATATTCCAAAACGTTATTTTCGAGAAAAATTTTATTAAATATCTGTAACATACATAACGCGTAAATTTTTGAGTAAAATTTTCCTCGAGAACAACGTTTTTTGGAATATAATTAAAATTTATAAAAACAAACGATATTAAATAATACCAAAATAATATAGACATTGAAACGTTATAACATAGACATAAACGTTTTAATGATGGATATCAAGAAAATATTCTATATATATTTTCTTTTTAGAATTATAATAAAAATATTTTTACAGTAAAAATCAGTTTAACTCCAAAGTAAAAAAATCTTGCTTTTTTCATCTCTATAAAAATGTATGATAATCTTGTGTTACATTAATTAAAAATGATTAATTTTTAAAATGTACAATTTACGTATATATAAATAACAATGCTGTATCATTTGATATCAATAATGTTTTAGGATTAAAGAAGACTAAGAAACAGAGTATTATTACATTGTTATTTGTATTATCTCGTATGCATTTGTTACTTCAGATTACACCGAAATATGGATTATGTTGGAGTAAATAATCGCGATTAACTTCGCTTCTCAACGGGAGAATTAATTGCGGTCAGAATTACATGCGGAGGGGCAAACTTTTGGTATATATACACGGCCGAATCGCATTTCGCCGCGGCGTGCATGATAATTATTTGCGGCGTCACACGGCGCGTCAACTCTGTGTCCGCGGTAATTATCAAATTCGATGGAAAATATGTAGGTGCGAAATACGCACGGCGTGCCGACCGCGCGCTTGCGAAATTTACACGCATACGGTTCAATATGACCGGAGCTGCAGCAGAGCGCGGAGCTCCACCGGCCGTACGCGACACGGACGGCGAGGATAATGTAGCTAAACATTCGCCGCTACCATTGTTAGGAACGGTGTTTGTTGTAATGAATTTGCCGGCAGCGCAGTAATTAATTAGCGCGGATCGGCCAGCCGCAGAGTTCAGTTTCAATTGGGTCGACGTATATTCTGACGGTATGACGCTGGATGCTGGAGTTTACGCGCACCGTATTGTAATCGTTGCCGTGAGAGATATCTACTTGATGGTAACAACGAATTATTTTCGTGCGAGCAGCAAGTAAGAGCGCTCTCTCGATGTCTCGATCGCTCCCTCCGGCAATGTAATTATTAATATTTTAACATCTCCAGTATTTAACTCCCCCCTCCCCCTCTTAATTTCAGACATTGGTCAGAGATAATCGGGTTTTTCCATTTGACAGGATTATCCGCGAATGTAACTTCGTGAATTTAATTCGTCTTTAATATTCGTGGCAAATATACGAATTCTTGCAGATCGGAAAATTATGCGACGACGCGCGCGCAAAGAGAGACGCGTAGCAGGTAGTTTCCCAGACTGTCGCTATTACTACCACCACTGTTTCCCCTCGGTCTTGATTACTACTAGCTCGCACGAACGTGACGATTCCGCAACTTGCTGAGTTAGTTTGCCATGTTATAGAGAGAGAGAGAGAGAGAGGTAGATAGATAGAGAGAGAGAGAGAGAGAGAGAGATGATCTATAAAACAGTTTGCAGAGCTACGCAGCAATATCCTAAGATGTATCTTCGTATTGTTATAGTTATTGTTATATTACTTTCAGTATATGATTACATATGTTACGCGCATATAAGTTGTTTCACTCAATTGACGATCAGATTAAAGAAATTACTTTGGATATTATAAAAGATAAAGAGAAGAGCTCTATACAAGGAAATAAACCTATAAGCTTATTATTTTAGTTTCGATGATAAAGCTGTTTGCATTATGCTTCGTATAATCATAATAATAATTAAAAATATATTTGTATCAAAGATTTGCATTTGATATATCTTCGTATAATTCGGATGTTGAAAAACGATGCAGTAAAACAAAACGACAAAAACTTGTGTTTAAAACAGGAATCTGTGGAACAGAATATTTATTTCATTGTTGTGCAATCGAATGTACAATTTATTGAAGGAGAAAGTAAAAAATAGTGAGCGCAAAATGCACTTTAAATACGTTTTTAGTCGGAAAAATTGTCTCTATTCATATTTTTCTTTCCTCCCTCTCTCTCTCTCTCTCTCTCTCTCTTTCTTTTCATGAATAAGTGATATTACCAAGTAATTAATCATCTTTTTCTGGTGCAAATATACATAGAGCAGCATCATTCCGCTATACAAGTGCAGACATGACCCCCGGGCATCCTGAATTCTTAATTTTCTGTCGAATTATTCATTCACAGAAGCTTGCCCAATATGAAATAGCCGGAAGAGGATAAAGGGCAGATGTTATTATATATTCATTGACACATGAGAGATAGAAATGTGGATATTCTTTAACTAAATACTCTCTCCTCTTGAATCTGTATATTAATAATGTTAAATAAAAATGTTAAATCTTAAAAAAATGTTCTCCCAGAAATTATTTAAATAATTATTACAGACAAACTTTTACTCGTAATTGATTTTCTCCACAACTAGTTTCCCTTTGTCTCGTAGAACAGAACATTAGTTTATGCGAAATAATTATGACGGACAAAATTTTTGTTTGTATTATTATTCTAGATTTATAAACAGTACAGATTTATAATTTTAATTTGTTTATAAAATTATATTTTTAACGAAAGAAAAAATTAGAGATTAATTTTGCATTAAAAAAAGGATAAAAAAAGTGTAAAGTAAAGTAAAAGTGTAAAATAAATTGATCATATAGTTCTATTTCTCATTGTCTTTTTTATTTACGCACTTAAAAACTTCTTTAAATTAATTTTTCCTTAAATTACATATATATTTCATTTTCTCTTTTTTAAGAAAACACAAGAGTTTAAGTAATAAGTTGTTTTCACAAAGCGGCACCATTATTCACACGCTGTTTGCGGAGATTTAGTGAAATTCCTCAATTAAAGCACTGCTAATTATTTCGAATGCCGGAGAGCAAGTTACGTATTATGATTTTAAACTCGGAAAGGAGATTCGTCGAGTAATTACGCGGTTGGCTTCTCGAAATAACATGTACCGAAATCGACTCGCCTCTACGGAGTGCAACGCCGGGACGCACCCTTCGTAGCGCGGGATCGGCTACGAGAAGTAGGTACGGTCGGAGGAAGAAACTAGGCGAAGCGCCGAAATCTGTTGG